TATTTTTAGTAGAGATGGAGTTTCACCCTGTTGGCCAGGCTGATCTCGAACTCCTGACCTCAGGTGATCCACCTGCCTCGGCCTCCCAAAGTCCTGGGATTACAGATGTGAGCCACAACACCCGGCCACAGTTTCTTTTGAGCTAGGTTATTGGATTACTTTTGACAGAGATAAGTTGAATGCAATGTCAGGAGAACAGCTTTCTGCAGACTAGGAAGTATGAGATTTGGAATTTCTGATAAGTACTTACTTCAGATGAACTCATTTACTCCTGGTTTAAGCAAACCGTTAATTGGTATTTAAGGTGAAACAGGCATTATAAAATAGTGAAGAAACAAGTCTCCAGAGCACTAAGCTGGTGATAACCAAGCTTTTTGCACAGGCACTAATTTAGTAAAGAAAAAAAGTTTCTTTTATGAGGGGTGTGTGTTTTTTTTTTTTAGTCCGGAAATGTAATTCCTGCACCAACCTTTAACTATTTTTAAATTCTTCTTCTTTTTTTTCTTTTTTAAACTAATTAATTAATTTTGTTTGTAGGGACAGAGTTTCACTATGTTATCTAGGCTAGTCTCCAGTTCCTGGGCTCAAGTAATTCCGGCCACCTCGGCTTCCCAGAGTGCTGGGATTACAGGCATGAACCAGTGTGTCTGACCTTCCCCTTTTGTGGTGCCAAAAGGGTTGGGGACCACTGCCCTAAACATTTATTTGGAAATACTTTTCATCAGGCCCTCTTCTTCGCAGAAGTCATAGTGGCAGTTTCCATTTTATTTAGAAAATGACTCTGTAACTCAACTGCATCCCAGGTCAGACTCCCTCATCACCCTTGGGGCTACACTCATCGGGTTGGGCAAAAAACAGTCCAGGCTCTCAGAAAAGTAGACTCTGCAAATCCTACTCCTTCCCAGTGAAGATGTGGCCTCCTCATCCCTCTTACTGGGCCGCACATTACTGACCAGGGGCAGTGACCTGACCTGTCAAACCAGCCAGTTTTAAGTGACACTCATCATCCCCTCTGTATATCACATAGGCTTGCAGAGAGGTAAACCCACCTATCTCAGATCCAGTATTTTTGTTTGGTTTGTTTGTTTGTTTCTTTTTTGAGACGGGATCTCACTCGGTCACCCAGGCTAGAGTGTAGTGGTGTGATCTTGGCTCACTGCAACTGCTGCCTCTTGGGCTCAAGCAATCCTTCCACCTCAAGTAATCCTTCCACCTCAGCCTCCTCAGTAACTAATTTGTGTACTTTTTGTAGAGAAACTCCTGAACCCAAGTGACACTCCTGCCTCAGCCTCCTAAGTAGCTGGGATTACAAGTGTATGCCACTACACCCAGCTGATTTTTGCATTTTTTGTAGGGACGGAGTTTTTCCTGTCAGCCAGGCTGGTCTCAAACTCCTGGACTCAAGTGACCCACCCGCCTCGGCCTCCCACAGTTCTGGGATTACAAGTGTGACCCACCTGGCCAGATCCGGTGTTTCAGTAGCACCTGGGTGACTGAAGTTTGAGGGTAGGGGTGCACATCTGGGCTGAGCTGAATTGCAACATCTGAAGAGGTTTAAGTTAGCAAATATTTTGAGTGTCTGTTACATTCTGTCGTATGTAAGTATCTAGGGACCCAGCAAATAACAAGAATTGGCCGTATCTGAATCACTTATGATCTTACAGGATTTCCCTCAGATGGTTTGAGTAAGCTTTAATGAAGATGTGACGCAAAAGTGTGGCAGGATTTAGGGAACCAATAAAGGTGATACACCCAGAGACCAGCAATGATGGTAAGCCTCTGACACGGAAGCATGGGTGATGTGGCAGTATATTCTGTCATAGTCAGCTTCCTGGCGGCACAGAGAGAGGAAGAGAAGGAGTGGGATGGGGCACAAACAGAATTAACCACTACATGATTCCCAGAATTCAGTGTTCTATGTACATGGGCCAAGTCCTGAAGCTAGGTGGGCTTTCTAAGGTCCTTAGGTCTTTGCTGGAGTAGACCGTGTGGTATAGTGGAAAGAATGAGGCTTGGGTTTAGACACAGATTTGGATTTGAATCCCAGCTCCAACAACACCTTGCAACTGTTAATCTTGGACAAGATACTTCTCCCTGGGCCTCGGATTGCTCTTCTGGAAAGAGCTGTGTCCCAGAATTGCCATGAGAATTAAATCAAAAAGTATGAATTACACCTAGCACACACTGCCTAGCCCCTGATTGACACTCAGTAGATTTTAGTTTTCTTCTTTTGAGAAGAAAAGATTGTGTTCCTGTGGGATTTCCCTTTTAAATTGCAAGAAGATAAAAAATCTGTGTCATAGGAAAACCTCAAGTTGCCTGGTCCTCAGTAGAGCATTGTCAGTGTTAGGCTCCATTTCCAAGTGTGTAGATTGTCAGTGTTAATTTGCAAGTATAATTTGCTTTTATTAGATAATTTTCAAATAAAATGGCCAATCAGACCAAGCCCAGGAAATTTGTTAAATCCTTGTTACTTCAATGATTGTTCAGTTTTGAGATTTTCTGGGGTAAGTTGCAAGAGTTGTCAGTGTATGTCCAGGCCTGGCAATCTTGGGGATCCTGTCTACCATTCAGGCTATCTGCAGAGCCAGCGAGTTTGAACATTCTGGTAGACATGCAAACTAGGGTCAGCCCAGTGTACCAGAAGAGGAATGTCTTCTGTCTTTGCTTCCCCTTTCCAAAATTCAGTGTTCTTGTGACTTATTCATTAATTGTATGTCTCTATCCCAACCAGGTTCTCCCTAGTTCCTTTGTTGCTTTATGTTCAGAGATAATGCTGCTGAGCCTCCATTGTGGAGACCACTTTTGAAATAAACTGTAGTGAACACATCTTTTCTGTACTGAATACAAAAGATATTCAGTTAATTGATTGCTTTTTTTTCCCTAGAAAAGTAACTTTCGAAAAACAGTGGTTCTACCTGGATAACGTCATTGGTCATAGTTATGGAACCACATTTGAAGTGACCAGTGGAGGAAGTCTACAGCCCAAGAAGAAGAGGGAAGAGCCTACTGCAGGTGCACATTTTGGATACGTGAAATAGATGCTGTCCAACTGACTAGTCAGAAACATCTCAACCTCTACCTAATTCCCAAGTGCTAGACAATGCTACCCCAAAAGAAATCTTAACTCATAATCTAA